CTGACTCAGTCTAGTAGAGTATGTCTTCGTTGTAATATTTGGGCACATACATTCTTGAATTCATCGAGTGCCCATCCATGCGACTCTCCGGGCCAATGGCCAGGAAAATCTGTAGAGGGGATATTGGTGACGGTTTCCGCATTGATACCGATGATCTAGAACGATTAGTATTCTGAGCTACATGGAATCCTTGTTAAAGACATACACGGCGGCGCTGCAGCTCCTCCTGTGAGGGAACAAGAGGTGCCATGGTGAGTAATTTATAGGGTCTGGTGGAGGTTGAAGGTAAAATCCGCGATCACCGATAAGAGAGATTTCTCGAAGCAATTTTCTAGTTTGCCTGAGGCAGCACATGGGGGCTTTATTCTGTGAAGAGAATAAGTATTATATAATCCATATTTGCGGAATTGTGCCAAAAGTGCACAGGGCTAGGCCAATAACAGGCTAGCGTGGAGCCTGTACCAAGACAGTATAGTGGCCCCTTCAAGCCAACCAGCGCACGGCTGATGACCCGGCAGCTTTCACGTGACGAGCCAAAATGCGACTCCCAACCTGAGACCTTCAGCGAGTTCCCTATCCGTAGCGAGCCATATCCACCCATTGAATGCGCGTGGATTGAGGATCATCTCCCCTCTTTTCCCTCTTGGATCTCCAATTCTTCATCCTCCATGGCCGCTTCTTTCGCCCGCCTAGCGGGCAATGCGCCCAAAAGGCTCTGCCTCCGCCCCTCCTCACTCAACACATCCATTCCTCGCTCCCGCTCGATAGCCACCTCTGTCCCGCGCCGTCATGCAGAGGCTACGAGCTACCAGGCCACACGACTTGTGCCGACCGACCCGACCTTCACTTCCCTCGCCAACAAGGGTGCTCCCGAGGACACCGAGGCTGCTGCCCTTGAATCCGAGGCCGAAGGCATCGACCGCAAGATTCGTCATTACACTGTCAACTTTGGTCCTCAGCATCCTGCTGCTCACGGTGTGCTCCGGTTGATTCTGGAACTCAATGGCGAAGAGATTGTTCGCTCCGATCCCCACGTCGGCTTGCTTCACCGTGGTACCGAGAAGTTGATCGAGTACAAAACCTACATGCAGGCCCTGCCTTACTTTGACCGATTGGACTACGTTTCCATGATGACAAACGAGCAGTGCTTCTCCTTGGCCGTTGAGAAGCTGTTGAACGTCGAGATCCCTGACCGTGCCAAGTGGATCCGTACCTTGTTCGGCGAGATGACCCGAGTCCTGAACCACCTCATGTCTGTCCTGTCCCACGCAATGGACGTGGGTGCCCTGACTCCTTTCCTGTGGGGTTTCGAGGAGCGTGAGAAGCTTATGGTGAGTAATTGAGAGCTCCGGGAAGCAACTACGGCCAGGTCTTGTTTACTGACACTTCGGGTACTTCAGGAATTCTACGAGCGTGTCTCCGGTGCCCGTCTCCACGCTGCCTACGTTCGCCCCGGTGGTGTGTCGCAAGATATCCCCATTGGTCTTCTGGACGACATCTACCAGTGGGCCACTCAGTTCGGTGATCGCATTGACGAGACCGAGGAACTGCTCACGGATAACCGTATCTGGAAGGCCAGAACCCAGGGTGTTGGTGTTGTCAACGCTACCGATGCGCTCAACATGAGTTTCACTGGTGTCATGCTCCGTGGCTCGGGTGTTCCCTATGATATCCGCAAGTCGCAGCCATACGATGCCTATGACCAGGTCGAGTTCGACGTTCCCGTCGGTGTCAACGGTGACTGCTACGACCGTTACCTCTGCCGTATGGAGGAGTTCCGTCAGTCCCTCCGTATCATCCACCAGTGCCTGAACAAGATGCCTGCCGGCCCTGTTCGCGTCGAGGACTACAAGATCTCACCCCCTCCCCGTGCCGCCATGAAGGAGAACATGGAAGCTCTCATTCACCACTTCCTTCTCTTCACCAAGGGTTACTCCGTCCCCCCTGGCGAGACCTACTCCGCCATCGAGGCCCCCAAGGGTGAGATGGGTGTCTTCCTGGTCAGTGATGGCAGTGAGCGCCCATACCGCTGCAAGATTCGTGCCCCTGGTTTCGCCCACTTGGGTGGCTTCGATCAGGTGTCTCGTGGTCACTTGCTTGCCGATGCTGTCGCAATTATTGGTAAGTTTTTGTTTGTGTTGTCTTCTTCCATTCTAGCTTCTAACATTGAATCTCTTCTAGGTACTATGGATCTTGTGTTCGGTGAAGTTGACCGGTAAACAATATTGGCAACGCAATAATAAAAAAGAAAAACCAAACCCGAAGAAAACCTTCCCATGGCACCCTCTTAGATGGTTAGATTCGCCTGTGCTGGGGGAAAAAATCAGAAAAGAGGAACCACCCATTTCCTTGATGTGATCTATAAACCCTAGAACTTTCGACGCTGACTAGGTGTACCAAATGTTCCATGTTTTCTTCCCATGGCGTTGTGCTATTATGTCCTGTCATTCTCCTTTGTGTCTGTTTTTTTTCTACCTTTACTGCTTCAGACAAGCCCTGTGTATAGTGAACATCTGATTCTCCCGTGAACTGTCCTTTTTTTTTCAATGTAGAGGTATTATTCCATAAATCTAACCATGAGTTCAAGCTTGTATTCTCTATCATACATGGTACCTTTGTATAGTATTCTATATCTTAAGACGACCTACATTGACTGAGAAGTTATATTTTATAGAGAGATAAAAGATGCCCTATCATCAATGATTGATGTCCCTTACATCATTCCAAGTTTGTTTGTCAGTGGCAAAAATAATCCCGTCACCGCCTTGGGGATATAAGAAGGCCCCTCAGCCCCCAGAACTTCCTCTTCTTTTCTTTCTTCTTCAGCTCTCTTTGCCTATTGGCTTAGATCAAGTGTAGTATCTGTTCTTTTCAGTTTAATCTCTGAAAGTTTCCGTCCAGGAAACACTTTGATTATTCCTATTTTTGGACCTCGTGACTTGGCCTCTGTGCTTGCGCATGCCTCGTCGCACAGTGTCATTGGGCTCACACTACCCCCAATCGACGCGAACTCCTTTTTCATCAATTGTTCGGCTTGTCCGGGCGTTTGGAGAAGAAGTCGGTTCATTTTAATCTCAGTAGTTGTCTGTTGTCTGTGTAGCTAGTTTCTACTGTTGCCGTGGACAACCTCCTAGTGTAGATACTTGGGATATCCGTCTCTAATGCGACTCAAATGCGACTCACTCTCCCCCTTTGTCCATACAACGTAGTCCCTCAGAAGCTGTCTGGGATATTCTATCGATTCCACTATTTTATTTTAGTACTTACAAACTCCAAGCTAATGCCAAGAAGGAGTGCGACCAACTCGTCGCTTCTACCGCAGCAACCGTCTACCATCATGTTCATGCCGGGTTCGTGACGGGCTCATTTGGTAAACACGTCTGTATGCTCGTGCTCGCTTGATCATTCCATATCTAACGTTTTAACCTCAATCTTCAGCCTGGGCTTATGGTGACAGCTGCTCGATCCTTCTGATGTGACCTCTGTATGACTTTATTTCGACAATTCTAACGCAGCTTTCGGGGGGTGTTATGAGACAATGCTGGTCTAACTGTTCCATCTCTTTCGTTCATCTTACTTGATGCTAACCCATTCAGCAGTAACCTACGACACAGTCCGCATCGGCTTATACGAGACACTAAAAGAACAAACCAAATCCCTGCCTCTCCGCCAGTTCTTGGGCTACCAGGAATCCTGGATCTATTGGCCCATATTTGAGAACTCATCAGATCAAGGCAACATCCGCATGCCAAATGACTACCTCCTCATATGCGTCAGAGTCACGGGCACGTCATCGATGCGATACAAGAGGGATGGAAGGCCTTTGGACAGGGCTTGTGGTCGAATGCTTTCCGTTGCGGTACAGCTGTCAGCTTGCATCTTAGGATAGCTTTAGGGATCTAATAGTGGCAATCACTGTGATTCTTAACGATCATCTCGGTTTGCATTTATCTGCATCTTTCTTGGCAGCGCCGGTTGCTACAACACTTTGCAGTCTGATTGATGCAATTAAGACTCAATTAATGGGGTCCTCAACAGAGCAAGAAATACTCAAAGTTGCATGTGCTAAAGGGTCTTACAACCTCGGAGGAATAAGGTGGGTGTTTCGAGGTGGACACTTGGGTTTGTTCGGCTGGGCCTACAGACTATGGCCACGCTGATTCCTTTGGCGCAGCACAGGCGGTTATACAGGGATTTCAAAGGAAAGACAAATACTAAGTCAGCCCTCCAACATACTGTTAGACCCCATGAGTATCTGATTTCTCATGTGTACTTATATGTACCTACATGTACCTAGGGTTTATACAATCCGCCAGATTTATGCTGTCGTTATTTATCCCTCCCCGCTGTGGGAAGTACAGTTCGTTAGTTTCACGGTCTCGATGAGGTCTACTCCCTTATAAAACCTGTCTTGCACATGCTAAGGTTTAAGGTTGGCAGCATTTCGTACCTAAGCACACCGTGGAAAAAAGTACACGAGCAGCGAGCTAGGTCTCATAGTCAAATATTGTGGAGGCTTGTTGCTCTCGTCGCGTTCAATGTTTTGTTTTAGCCTCTGCACATCGGAGCCTTGAGACCACCGCGTAGCAGCTGCCTGAGGCCGTCAACACAGTATATGAACCGTTTGTTTTTTCACGAGACTGATCACGATCTTCAGACGACTTAGTTGACCAGCCCCATATTTCTTCTCACAAGTTATCCACAGCATTCAAGCTATCTCCCTACTTGGCTCAGCTGTCAACTTGGGCCCCTCTCACTCCTCACATATCCGAAAGGATATATCTACTTGCTGCTATCTCTACCATCTTTTTCAACACCCCTCAACGACTGCAGCCAGTTGGTGATATTTCTCCAGACCCAGCGCGGATCCGACCAGCCTGATGAGGTATATCGTGCACTATAACACCATGGGTGACGATGCTAAATATGAAAGTCTCGAGCCAGCCGTTGGCCTAGGCACATGAGAAGCGACTGAGTCCCACCCTGCCACTTCGGTATCAATGGAAACCTCACTAGAGCAGCAGTCTCAGCGGCCGCTTCCAGCTTCTACGACACCTCGACTCCTCTCGTTACCCCCCGAGATACGCCTGGAGATCTTTAGCCTCTGCATCCCCACAAAACGCGCCATCAGAGTGACAAACGAGAGGTATCGGCCCTACGGGGTCGAACCTTTAGTCTCTACGCGGGATCCAAGCGACAGGTTCTCCAATACCCGACCTCGCTGGACTAACATTTTACATGTTTCCAAACAAATGAGCAACGAATGCCTGGATATCCTTTATGGTGACAACTTGTTCGAAATCTACCTGAACAAAGGAGGTGAAGCTACACTGAAGAAAACATTCAGCAGAGCGAATCTCAAGCGAATCCAATTTATTCTCGCCATCTCCCCTGGCCCATGTTTTACCGGGGAACTGAAACCACCTGACAATAATTTCTGGGCCATGGTGATCCCAAACCTGAAATTGTTTGAATGGGTCGCACAGCCAGATCTGAAAGCCGAGCGGAACAGGAGCAATCTTATGGTTGAGGAAGGGTTGGAGAGCTGGAGGAAGTGGACTGACTCCTACTCAGACTGCTTCGCCGAATTTCTGGTGCCTGGGTTGGACTTCAAAATGGTAGCTGGCAACGGAGACGATAAATACAGGAAGATCGGGAGACTTCGTTTCCGGCGAGGGCCTTTCTTCAAGAAGATAATATTGTGGGAGCCATGAGGAGGACCCAAAGTGGCACACCACAATTCATGTACGATAGCCTCATGCTTCAAATACAAAGTCTGGATATTGCTACGAGATATCTAAATCGCCACATCTAGAACTACTTTGTAACAAGAATGGTAGGCCGCATAAGCGGTCCTGGATGTCTTTTCAGTGGTCTCTTTAGAAAAATGTTTCAGATATATCCTTTCGATGTGTCAGTTCTATAGTCGACGACAAAGAGAAGGCGGGAAAAGGCTTTGTGAAATGAACTTTGCTAAGTATAACTTTTGATGCTTAATTCATTCGCAGGTAACTAGACTATATGTATTTGCTGGCTGGTAAGCCTGGCATCCATACTGTACCCACAGGTCTCTTCATATACTGTACTTTTACCATGTCATTTTGAATGAGTTGCTTTCTAAGGGCGCACTAATTTTTTTTTGTACATAACTCCATAGCCTAGCACGTTCCTATACCCCATGGGAGGTCATCGAGACAGGAGCTTCATACTCGGTAGTCTTGACAACGACATGGTACATACAACATAACAGCCTATAGTTCATGCGATGCCTGAGGAAGCATTGTGGCGTATGATGTAGTTTATACGGAGTAAACCTGGTTCTATTGTGGCGCAGTGCATGCAGCCCTGTTCCCATATTTCCCCCAACAAGCTGTCACTACGTTGTACAGTTGTCAACTTCTGATTCGGAGATTAAAGCGGCTGTGGAGGTTTCGACATCTTTGTTTTCGCCTGAATTCAAGATCGAGAAACAAAGCAAAAAAAGAAATCCAAGAATGATCGGCACACACGGCTACGTTAAAAGTGCGAAAATGGGAAAAAATCCTCGAGCGGTTGCTAATTCCAAGTGTACAACTGTTGAAAGGTCATAAAATATAGAATTGTTAAAATTTGAGGGAAGTAAGATCGAAGTAAATAAAAAGTCGAGAAGCTTCAAGAAAAGGTGGATATGCAAGGTTGTTACTTGGCCAATGGGATCATTCTGAATTGCTTATGTAATTGTTGTAATTGCACCTCTGGGGGACCTCCACTGGGTAAGATCGCGTCTCTGAGCTCTCCTTCAACTTCCATTCCTTTGTTTACCACATAAAATATTTGATCTGTGGTTATTGAACATCTGATCATTATTATAATCACGTTTCCTTCTACCCTCTCTCCCTTCACCAATTGCACCCTATCTCCGATCGCAAAATGGCCACCGACTACAGCAAGAAGACCAACGCCGAGTTGGTTGAGATCCTTAAGGCTCGCTCTCTCCCCCACACTGGAAAGAAGGCCGAAATGGTCTCGCGCCTCCAGGAAGACGACGAGAGTAAGCCAACCGACGCTCCTGCCGCAGCTCCTGCCGCAGCCAAGACCGACGCCCCCGAGGACGTCATTGACTGGGACGACGAACCCGCAGAGACCATTATCGAGCCATCCACAGAAACTGGCGCAGCAGCGATTGCTGCTGGTGGCCAGGGCGCAGTCTCCAACCCCGTTGCTGTCCCAAATCAGCAGCTCGACGAGAACCCCGCCACAACTGAGGACTTGAAGGTCGAGGCGACCGGCGCTGTCGCTGAACCAACTACTCAGCCCGAAGCTGCGACTGAACAGAAGCCTGCCGTTGATTACACACGAGGACTACCCCAGACCGATCTGGAGGCGGAACTTGAGAAGCGCAAGGCTCGCGCGCAGAAGTTTGGCATCGTTGAGGATGACGACACAGCATTGAAGGAGGCGACGAAGCAGCTGGAGCGCGCTAAGCGGTTCGGTACCGGTGCTGAGGCTGGGACTACATCTGTTGCGGGTGTAAGCCGTCTTGATCAGGCACTTCCTGATGAACGCTCCCGCAAGAGACGTAATGATGCCCGCACCGACTCCCGCAACGACCAGAATGGCCGTGGAGGTAAGAGACGTGACAATGGACGCAACCGCAACAACCGTCAGCGTGGGGATGGAAACCGCAACCGTGGCGATGGTGGTAACAAGACTAATGCTGGCGTGAAGAAGTCCAATGCCGGTGGGAATGCTGCTCAGAAAACTTGGAGTGAGAAGGATAATGCGGCCATGGAGGCTCGCAAGAAGCGATTTGCCGCTGCTGCTTAAATGTTTCCAATAGTTTGCTCTGGTATTTGACTAGGTCTTCGGTTCTATCTCTTCTTTCATCATGGGCGTTTGTGTGTTGATATGCTGCTGGGACAATTTCAGGGTCATTCCACTCGATTTGTTTTAATATATGTTTCAATGAAAATGTACAAGTGTATGAATCTCTATATTTGTAGAAGTAGTCGTGTCCGTATGTCCATGTGAGCATCCTCCATATCCAAGCACCGGTCTCACGGAAAACTCAATCTACAAGTTCTCCCCAGAAATAATTTGGCTGGGTTGACTGCGAAGTCAGCTGAAGGGTGCATTAGTCGCTTGTTCCTGCATCATGGACGTCGACCAGTGCGGCCAGTCAGTAGACGAGGATAGGCCCGTGAGTGTGGGACCTCAAACTCATCTGTTATCTTTGAGAGTCTGAGAGTACTTCGCATAAAGTACGGGGGAATATTACAATTGCAATATCCAACAAAGTACTCCATCCACCGTACAGTCAATGCCGTTGTTGTTCCTATTGCCCGGATTAGCGCCCTCTCCCCACTTAGATCGGTATGGCTCCCCGCGAATCACAACAGGTAGCTGGCCTTTTTTTAGACGGTGGCTGCAAGCTAACATTTGATTGTCGTAAAGGGCTTGTTCATTGCTGGATCGTTCAGTGGCCCATCACAGTGACTAGCGGGCTCCACTGTCTCGAAGCTCCACAAACATTGAAGGACGAAATGCCGTCTATGGACAATCACTGGCTTGTTCGAATCTTACAAGTCTAGACGTTAGACACAATTTTAAGGTCCTTGCGGTTTTAAACCAACCTATGAATGATTGGAAGGATATTTCTCCGAAAGGTTCGGGACGGGCCCTCTGTACCAAACCATGAAGGCCGTTGGGAAATCCAGTTTACTTGACATGTCTCAAGATGAATTGATGAATTTCCAACTTCAAAGATGAGTCAGTTTTACTAATTGTATAGGTATACATAGCCTCTTAACCTCATGGAAAATTCCCCGAATGCCTGGGAATTGCAAAGCGCTAAAAAATAAAAGTAAATAAAAAAAACCCCTTCACGTCGATCATTTTACCATTTGGGTTTGAGTTATTCGGCGTCTCCGAATGCGTTGTTGAGGCGAGAGACGCGATAACCAGACTGGTCAATACGAGTATATTCCGCAGAGCTCAGCTTGAGTCAACAGCTGATCTTACTTGCGCAAGTTGAAATCCTTTACACGAATAGCCATGGCCCCTAAGCCACGGGTTATAGCCTGTCACGTTGTCTGATACCTAAATCGCCAGCCGATACCAAGACCAACAAGTCTCCCCCCGGAGAACCAGTGGACCAGTGGATCAACATTTACCTGTGCGCACCTTTGATCTGGCCAGGAAATCTGGTTTGTACAATTTCAATTTGACTTTTTTTTGCGATGGGGGCGCTTCAGACCTTTCCACAACGTGCTGGTCCTTTTGACAGGGTCTTTGCAGTTTTCCTTCCCGTCTCATCACAGTCACATTACTTTCTTGCCAATGAGATCGCTGGCTATTCTTTTTATATGCGATTTCGAAGCATTTCCCCCACATTCGAGGGGCAACCCCCAACACATAAATCTTTGGTGTCTCGGAAATTTTGATCTTTTCATGCTATTTATTTTTGTCTTCAGCCAGATTTTATCTCTGACGTGGCCAAGGCTAGAGAACAACACTGACATTCAACGCCACATTGCTCCGGACTGTGGCGAAGCACCTTTAAGGCTTCGATCCACTGACTTTTTCTCTTTTATCTACTGACGTTTGTAAGTGTGTTTTTGCTTTTATTTTTTTTATGGTTAAACATCCTTGCAATGTCTATTGACACTTGCTTTTTAGTTGTGCAACTTTGAGATACCCGTTTACGTTTAATTCCATCTACATTTACTTAATTCTATACATCGTCAAGCCCTACCAACAATATTGATATTTTTCGTTTGATATGACTCAGATACCGTGAGCTTTACTGAACATGAAGTTGGACTAATGAGCTGATTAAATTAAACAGCTATATACCCCAATAACGACGTGATGGTTACTATAACGAAGTACATGTACCCACTGTTTAATCATTTGTCCCTGGATTGGAGCCGGGGTTTTCACTCATCCGTACGCCATGTCGTACAGACCTGCTCATCACATGCACGATTCTTCGAACTTATCACATACCAATGGCGTCTATGGTCGACCTTTGCGATCCCAAATCGCGAGACCAGTCAATCACACTCCTAGAAGCAGAACCTCATCATTCTCAGATGCCGAAGATACTGGCCCAGTATCAGCGCCTTCGGCTATCAAGCGATCTACCAGTCGTGGAAATCGCCTGTCCATGCTTCCGCGCCCCGGCATTGGTAGCACAGCATCTCCAACTACGCCATTGTTGGCTTCCTCTTCCCGGAATCCTTCCCAGCCAATTCCCTCCTCGCTTTCAAGCCCGGAGATTAATAACCCCTCGCTTTCCGTTGCTGGACAACAATTACCCCCGCCAAAACGAACCCGGAATGTTCTTCGACGGAAGGCACCGACAATAGGGAAACATGTGGAGCAATCGCACTCCGACAAGCTTAGCCTTGTTATTCCACAAGAGCCCCATTCTCTCGTTATGAACAATGTGTCAGGACACGGAAATTCGTCATCCTCAATTTCAGCGCAATCGGCTTCCTCTTACAAACCAGCTCACAAGAATGACAGCAATGTGGCGGTTAACCCGGTGAGGTCTAGGTTCAATGGCCCGGCAGAGCTGGCAAGTCTTCGAACGACACTTGATACGCAAAATTTGCCAGCACCTCCCACTCCATTTTTATTGTCAAGCAGCCCCTCAACAAGATACTCAGAGTCTCCGAGTATTTGGAGTCGGGGGTCTACCCCAACATCATTATCGTCATATTCCCCCGGCATCACAAAGATTGGTCGTCTAAGACAACCCAGCCCGTCCCAAACGAGATTGCCTGTCTTTTCTCCTCCATCGGCACATGCAAGTCCTCAGCAAGAGCGGCTTGAGCTGAAGACTCAAAAGCGGGTACTTCCTAAGCCTTCTGCTCCAAGTTCTGGAGCAACCGGCAAAAGCCAGAGAGTACTACCATCTAAATCTCCCTCTACAATACCCCGAGGTCCACCTTCCAGTCCGCCTCCAAGAAAGTCATCGGTCAATTTCAGCCCTCCAAAAGCCCGCGAAATCGACGTTGAGCAGGCTAGAAGGGAGGTAGAGGAAGCCGAGAGGAGTTTGTTTGAGTCACAAAAGGCAATGGAACGTTCACCCGCGCGGAATGCGGAGACACCACGAACTCCACCACGACCGAGCAGAGATGGAACGCATCGTTTGCAGCTTGAGACATCACCAATTGTTCAAAGCAATCTACGCTATATTAGAACAACTGGCCACACAAGACGTGAGTCGATAGAGAAGATCAAAGCAACCCAACGGCCACATCCAACTCCCAATCAATCTGCCGCTGCATCGATCGATTCGCTGCAATCAAGAAGCATTTCTCAAATCCCTTCTCGGGATGGTGGATCTCCCATACTATCCAAAAAGACACCTCAGACATTGACTAAAGTGACTTCCAACGAGAAGCCGGGTTCAAAGCCCATGCCAACACAAAAGCGGTTTGGCCTTTTCACAAAGAAGTCCAAGCCGGATATGTCAGAGAATCTAACGGAGCAAGCTCGAGCCACTCGCAAAGGCCCAGCAGCGGGAACAGGCCACGAGGGCTATGGAAAATACGGACAGCGCGGCCGCAAAGCAAGCGGTAGTAGCAGCAGCGGGACAAGAACCAGATCGACAAGCACGACACGGAGCGCCACTAGCAAAGGGAGTCAATCGAGTCGCCCGGAGTTAGACATTGACGATTTTCTAATGAGCCGTCTCGAGCCTGTTATTATCAATGGTGGTGGATTAGACGGTGCATCCTTGTCACGAACGCAAAGTGAGCAGAGTTTCAGCAGCATCAGCGTTGCGTCGACTTCTAATCTGCCGCGGCAAACTCTCCTGTCGTACTCAACTTCGACTGGCCAATCTACCGAATCCCTTGCGACTTCGACCGGCACGTTCGGTGAGACTATTATGCCAAGTTATTCTAATGACAACGGGCCGATTGGAAGCAAGAGCTTTGAGTACAAAGTTAATGCGAGTGATCATTCAAATGCACCGAAGTCGCGCATGCCCGTCCCAAGAGGAAAGAGACACGGAATTTTTGCAAACCCTCAAGCTGCTGTCACAAACACGTCTCTTCCTAGCCATGAGCCAAGCACTACCACCTCACACCAACCGAAGCGTGCCCAAAAGTCCCCCGAGAAGTCACCCAAAACCGACCAGGTTGCAAAACAAGCCAAGAAAGGAAAGACATCCATGTGGAACTTCTTCCAGAAGAACCGTGCCAACGAGGAGAATATTTCAGTCTCCCCAACGACCTCATTCCAAACTGCGAAGCTCCATGCGGCGATCTCACCAGTTGTGAATAGTCGGCCCGTTGCCCATTATGCCTTGGTGGATGCTGATTCGGACGAGCTCGATGAAATCATCAACAACATCGAAGACTCACCACCAACAGAAGAGGAAACGATTTTCCATCCTGTGGAAATTCCAAGAGGCTTGAGCGTCAGAAAAAGAAAACCTTCTATTCTATTGCCATCCCCGCCAAAGATGCATGGCGAGTTTGAAAATGATGATCGCCCATCGCCGAGGACCGCCATGTTCAACGGTAACCTTATGAACCCGGAGCTCGAGGTATCACCCAAACAACGTCCAAGGCGCTTGGCCTCTATCGGTCGGATTCCACCGGTAGTTTCACGGCGCGATAGACACCACCAACCCGCCATGCAGTCTTTCTCGCGTCCGTTCAGTGTTGTCGAATCTCCTTCCCTCACGATTCCAACGACACAAAGCTCATACGAATCTCCAACTATCGCTAATATTCCGTTGAATCTGGGGATTGGATCGAATGAATCTTTTGACTGGGGCCATGGATTTAACCCGACCTTTAGCGCTTCTGAGCAGACCAGCGCTTTGGAGTTTCTTGCTGGACCATTCACAACTTATGAGTTCCTTCAATTCCCACCGAAGAAAGGCTCAACCTCGTCCGATAGCTCTGGGGCTCTGGCTGCCGTTACAGCCGTGGCTCCGGTTCCAGGTTCCCCGCCGACCGAAGACGAAGTGTGGAATGAGTACGATGATCTTATTGATCATGTTCTATCGCCAGATGAACCGAAGCCCGAGGATCCCGAAAAGACCGAAGAAGAGGACAGGTTTGAACTTGCGACAGTGGCGAGCAGGGCTCTTCAGGACGGATTGAATAATGCCAATCACCCTCAGTCAATGCCTGGTCACAATTCAGTCCGCTCGAGTGGCAGCTCTGTTCATCTTCGCCGCTCCCAGATTGTCTCTGCTTTGCAATCGTCTACCGCCCCTTCATCTCAGCCGTCTTACAGTGATCTTGTTGCTGGGTATAGAGGTTTAGATGAGGAGAAGCCCCAGCAGACGCAGAGTATTGATCCCACCGAGAACTCTTCAAAAGATCAGCGACGTAAACAGCAGTCGACGTTTCTCAACTCCCTTGCTGCTGTTCCTTCACCTAGACCAAAGTTCCATCGAGAACAAGAAGCCGCATCTCCAGAGCGTGAGTGGGATGCAGTAACACGGACTAACATGCGTTCTGCTTCGCTCATGACTAGTCGCTGGTTGTCCTTCGGTCGAGTTCTTTTCAGCCCAGCACATAATCACGTCAAGCCCGGAGGACACGGACGAATTCTTGTTATCGACGGACTGGGAAATGACGACTGGTCTTTCTACTGTTCCTTGACGTATCCTGATGCCGAGGTATACAGCCTGGGTGGACGTCCTGTATCTACAGCACCTCCCCACCCCGCAGCATGGCAACCCCCTACCAACCATCACATCGTGTATCACGCAGGACTGGAGAACCCTCTCCCCTTCCCAAAGGACTACTTCACCGTCGCCGTTCTAAGATTCCCCACCGCCTGCGCCGAGACCGTCCAAGGTAACATCATCCAAGAATGCAAACGCGTTCTCCGCACAGGAGGGTATCTAGAAATGAGCCTTCTAGACCGCGACATGGTTAACATGGGCCCTCGCACACGCAAAGCCATCCGCCAACTCAAAGAAATGACCTGTCTCTCCGACTCAACCATCAGCCTGAAACCAACCAGCGACAGCGTCCAACGCGAGCTCGGCGCCCAGGGCTTCGACAGTCTCCGTCGCTGCATGGTTCGAATCCCAGTCGCAGGCATGGTCGTCCATTCCTCAGACTCCAGCTCATCAGCACATTCCATTTCAACAGCAACCCCTTCTACTGCATTTTCGTTGCCGACCATATCCGTCACAACTGCAGGTGGTAGCCAGAGCACGGGAACTGACTCAAAATCACCCAATGATGCAAATATCTCTCTCGGCGATTTGCTCTCTGATCCTTCCCCGTCGCCGGCAAATGATGAGTCAATCGCTAAGATCGTTGCTCGCGTCGGACGCTGGTGGTATTCGAAATGCTATGAGGACCCGATTTTCGAGAATGGGAATACTCAGCATCCGAGCATTTGGAATGACCGCAAGGTACTCCGCGAATGTCAGAAGCGCGGTACCGGGTTCCGCATGTTCATTGCATACGCTCAGAAGCCTAGTGAGGTTCCGCGACGCACGGCTAGTGTGTAACCGAACGGCACTGATATACTTCCTTTTTCGTTTTTGCTCTTTTCTATTTTTTTTTTTTGTTTTTGTTTTGATGAGATCCATGATTGACTGATATTCTACGCATTCAGAAAAAAAAATACCCATACATATATGTCTTATGAAGTCTGTTCTTGAGCGTTTGGAAGAGGCTTTGTTCTCCTTGCATTTATTCGATATGGCGTGCATGATGCTATGATATGTGCCATAGAGTGGGATTTCCATTGTATAAGCAGGACTTAATATGGACAATCAATTTAATTTTTATCTATGACTTAACAAATAGGTTATAGGATTCTAGGGCTAGGTAGGTTTTACTATAGTTATGAGTTAATAGACCGCACCTGGCACCAGACAGACCTCTCTACATGATAACTTCAACTCTCTCTCTGTTTTCTATCCTGCTTGATTCCAGATCTATTACCCCATATCTCCAAATCATTAGGACCAAGAATCGCTATGGCCAGTGGAAACCCCGTAAGTCCAAGATCCCAAGCAAGCACATACATCATATGCACGCAATACTAACAGAAACCTTAGATGAGTCTTCCACTAGGCTGGACAATGGACCCCAAAGACCTTGATTACGAGGACGACTGGGCTACACCATATGGCTGGGGGTATCGACTTGCCGTTGAGTATAAACTTGGGAAATGCAGGCCTATCATGTGTATACCGGAGTTGGGAGAAGTGATGTTTGAGGGAAAAGGAAAATTCTACTAAATCTCCTAAATGGATGGAGATTTATTTCAGATCACTGTTCCAGACACGCTGGGTGAGATCATTGCTGTTATGAAGGGAGAAAGACGACGGGAAAAGGTGCAAATGAAGAGCCTTGGCTGGGTAGCGTTTTAGCGGCCGCTTATGCGGCCTTGTGGTGAAATGGAATCACTAAATAGGCTACTGAAATGGCCGCTTAAAAGACATCACAAGGACTCTTGAGACGACTCCATTATGTACAACGTCTACTAAAGGGAGTTACAAGTCGAATACGAACTCTCTGGACGAAAAGACTTGCGTAGCTCACATTCCTCATGTCAGACCATGGTATCTCAAAGTAAATGCAACCAATAATGAACAAAAGAGTCACTCAAAGGTCAGAATTGTACAGGAATAGAATAAGACAGGAAAAGTAAAGAAAAGGCCTTCTACTCAAGAAGAGCAACCATCAACCGCTCGTAATCACCAGAAGTCTCGCTACGCACCCGGTCAATCACGTTCTTCCTGTACTTATTTTGGTAAGCGCGCTTGACCATATCCTTGTGTTTGCGATCCCAGTGGACACGGACAGCACGAACAACAAGGCGATCATCCTTGGTGCCCATACCGCTCATGCAATCCTCGAGTAGCATAGCATCACGCAAGGCAGGATCTGTAGCCGAGCGTAGCATCTGCAGCAGCGCATCTTCCATATGACCGGAGAATTTATCTTTGATATGCTTCTCGAGTGGGATGTGGTAGCGCGACTCGAAGGTCTGGCTAATAGCGCGGAGCTCAGCATCAGACGACTGAGCAAAGATCACGCACACCTCTGTGACGCTCTCTTTAGCTTGTAAAGAGCGAATATCCGCCTCGATCGTTTGCGGGTTGATAGGGGTAGACTCTTCATGGCGAGTAGCACGAAGGACAGTGGCGAAAAGAGTGGAGGTCTTGAAAGAGAGATCGCCTTCGACATCTCTAGACAGTGAACGCTTATATCTCATTTCATAGGCGGTCCGGATAGCAGTGATATCAGCATTGGACCGACCGAGTAGGATATCGTTAAGTAACCACTCCTTCGTGCCAGCGCCATCGATTGCGTCGTGCAGGCTCTCGACATCGTGCATCAGCGGTCCCTCGATCACGGCAAGTAGGCCGTTACCGAAGTACCCGCCGGTCTCGGACTTGACATCCTTAAACAGATCGCGGCCGAGGTGCTTGGAATACGTGTCGCGGACTGCGGCGACCTGGAGTGGGTCAAGTTTCGCGAGGACTGCGATCAGGGCCTTCTCATCCGTGCCGAAGCCCTTCATCGCTTTGCGAAGCGCATCTGCTTGGGGCCGGAAATCGCCTGGCGCTAATTCACCAGGGGTGTAGCCAGGTGACGGCCGTGATGGAATACCCTGGGGCGGGAAGGCGCCGGGTGGTGGTGCGCCGTATCCGACGGGTGGTTGACCTGGAGGTGGGTATCCGGGAGCACCTGCAGGCGGTTGGCCTGGAGGGGCATAACCATGCGGCGGCTGACCGTATGGAGGTTGCGCGGGCGGAGCATGGTATCCGTGGGGCTGAGGAGATGGCGCGCCGTAAGGAGCTCCCTGTGGAGGAGGGGCACCATACTGGCCTTGCTGGGGTGGAGGATAATATCCCTGTTGAGGCGGGGGGTAATGACCTTGTTGAGGGGGGTATTGCCCCTGTGGAGGAGGATGTCCCTGTGGAGGAGGGTGTCCCTGTGGGGGAGGAGCACCATAAGGCGGCTGATAACCCTGAGGCGGAGGTCCTGAAGGAGGGCCCTGCTGTCCGTATTGGGGCGGATATCCTCCGTACGGAGGTTCTATTGACAGGGTTAGCTTCTGTCATTAGAAATGTATTTAATATGCGACTCACGGTTAGGGTTATAAGACATGATATGCAGACTGTCAAGTGGATGTCAGGGCTCAGGGTTAGGGGCTGAGGGGTTGTTTATAACGGCTTGCCCGGAGTGTGGCGCAGTAAGGTGGGGGGCGTTCATGGCCTTGCGGCTTTGTAGATTTGTTGACATCAGCAAATATTTACTTTAGGCTTCCATGGTTCATGGACTCGTATCCATGGTTCATCCTCGTATTTCTAATTAAAGAAATTACTCCTTCGACGATCTTTTTTCCATATACGGAGTACACGGTCTATCACATCCCCTTCGATCAACCATGATTGCAATCTTAATGTCCTTGTACACATCCAATAGTCATGACTTAACACACTCATAACTTCAACCATTTTCCTCCACCACCAACAATGGTCCCTTTCTTCACCTCGCCATCGCTGAAGGGCATATCAAAACCGCCCGTGATCGAAACCCCATTCTTGAGCTTGAGTTCAATCTGGTCCTTCTCTACGGGCAGGTCTTCAAAATCTTCAGATTGCTTGTGTAATTGGTCGGCTGAGTCATAGGTGACGTCGGCATTGGGAATGGAGAAAGACTGCCCGAATCCAGTCAGGTTTCCCACGAAAATATACTGAGCGCCTTCGACTTCAAATTGACCAAGGACTCGTCCTTTGTCACTTGTCAGAGTTCCAGTTCCTTGAGGCATCTATTTCATCGGTGGATCAGTATGCGCTAGCAATGGGAATACGAAATAGTGCCAAGAACTTACTATAGGGAGATCTTGCCAAATATTCGCTAGTATAGGAATTGGTGCTACAACTAGGTGGTCATTCCATCATTTAAGGAGACTAGGCAAGGAAGAGCGGTCAGTTTTCAGAGTCCAAGCTGAGATATCGTGCAGTGCGTCCGATGTCATACATGCAGGTCAAGTGGGGAGCCGTGCTTGGCTTCCATCTTATGGATGGCGGTTTGCCTTATCAAGAATTATAGCGCAACCCATAGTATGCAAGGCGCAACGCATACCACCTGGACAGAGATGTGTAGTAACGTAATGGGACATTCTTCAAGTGCCCTATCCGGCTGCAGGCTAAACATAAAATTGAAGAAAATCAAATTTTATCAATCTATCAGGCGGAAGTGACATGACTATATATATTGCTGGGATCTAGATGTTGAAACTTTGAACTTAAATTGGAACTTGAAAACTACCTAGGTAGTTCATAGTGAAATGGCTCATCATGAGAGTATGATCAAAAACATATATCTCCATAGTCAAACTTAGTATACTGAGGTGCTTGACACCAGATTTATTTATGTTACTCCTAGGTAGATCATATACAGCCTAAATCGGGCTTCTCCCCGCAGAATCTCATAGCGCTAGCCAGGTATGGCTAGCGTGCCCCTTTGGCATCTCGGATGCCACTGTGCCTTCCACCCGTAGAATAGCCGCTCCTTTTAATTTATATTAAATGTCTCTCGGCATCCACTATAGCTGTACGGTGTCTACTGGTGATTGACATGGACGCATTACCAGGCCTCCGTTCGCACCGCAAATCGCGGTTCGGGTGCTTACAATGCAAAAAGCGGAAAGTCAAGGTGAGGGATTCGTCAATATTTCTACCGAATACTTGCTTATAATTCTGTATCAGTGCGATGAACGCCAGCCACGTTGTCGGAATTGCGAGAAGCACGGAGTCGTTTGTTCCTTCGCCGGCTTCACAACCGCCCTTTTTACACCAAAAGTGGATTCAGCAGCATCGACTTCCTCGCTATCTCGTCCAGATAGCGCTGGATCTGGAACAATTCGTTCCACAGCAATTGTAACCCCACAAGCCTTACCAAGTCTGTCCTCAATAGGGCCATTACCTTCTCCGCTGGCAGTTTTTGACTTGGAACTGTTGCACCACTGGACAACGTCAACCTGCTACACCTTGTCGCGAAGTCCCGCTGTGCAGACCGTCTGGTGCATTGAAGCACCTCGAATTGGATTTGCGACGCCTCCAGTATTGCACATATTGCTAGCATGCTCTGCGCTACATCTAGCTCGCTGCGATGAATCTCGACGCGCAACATGCTTTGCTTATGCACAGATGCACCATAGCACCGCCGTGAGAGAGATGATCCCGCTTGTCTCACCTCTCGCCCGAGATAATGGCGCAGCGCTTTTTATTTTCTCTTCTCTAACATGCATGTTCGCGTGTGCCAAGCCACCAGAAGACGGCGATTTCCCGGTTCCCTCTGAGCGTAGCAATCTACCTGAGTGGACCCGTCTTTTCCAAGGGACAAAAACTGTTATCCATACCGGTGGTGAGCACCTTCTTACCGGGAGCTTGGGACCTATCTTCACGAATGGATTATATCTAGCTGCTGCCTATCGCTCGCCATGTGCGCTTGAGCAAGGCAGGCCACATGTTTGGGAGTTGCAACAAATGATATCAAGGGAGTGCGCAGCTGATCCGTCACTTCGAGCTACCTATCAAGAGGCTTTAGATGAACTAGCCCGAACACTGGGTATAGCCATGAGGCCTGGGCTCACGCGGAAACTCGAGATCGCAGATGTCTTCCGGTGGCTGTTTGAAGTCTCAGATGAATATTTAAACCTCTTGTGTCAGGAAGACACGATTGCATTGATTATATTTGCTCATTGGTGTGCATCTATTCGTCAGATCGAGTGGATGTGGTGGATGGAAGGTCTAAGCTCGCGCCTTATGACACAATTATATTCTGTGTTAGATCCGAAATATCGAGATTGGCTTTTGTGGCCACAGGAGATTATTAATGGGAGCTGCTATGGAGTGTTAACTTAACTTAGAATTATAATTACCAGAGGTTGGATATCCTATTAGGGAGAAACCAAACCATGAAGGATGCAGAAAATGGGATCATATCAAACATATACTAAGAAGCATTGCCGATTCCATTACTGGATTATGTATCTCTTGCTACACCTATGGAAATTGCCGTTTCTAGAATGAACATATGGCGCAGAAGGAAACTTGACGAGATGTTTGCACATGGGTTAGGAAAATTGCTTCTTTCTAGTTATCTCACGACTGTTGCTGGTTTGGGGAAACACTACCAGATGTAACGGCTCAAAGCTAGGCGAAGGTAAATATCATGTATTATTATGGCTAAGTGTAACTAGATATATGCTGAAGTCACCCGCAGGTGACATCTGCCGACACCTTGAATCCCCAACGTCTTCGGTTGGAGTAGGATACTGCATTAGCCCTGTGGTGAACAAATGAGTGAATATTGTCTTGAGGCCTTAACGTCCTCGTTGAGGTGCAGATAGCCCCACGATGCAAGAAAAAGCAAAGTAAAGAAAGAAAAGTCCTTCGTTCTCTTCATCCTCGTGGTCCCCCACGTCGAGCGTCTTCTAGAGACTGAACTTTGCCCATTCCTCTCTGTTAGCCACGCTTTCCTATGAGTATCGTAGTCGGCTCGATCCCTTACTAATTCCTCGCCGGTATAAAAAATCTGTTACGCTTCGGGATTATTTAACTGACGTCGCTTAATGTCGACGGCGTAAGCCTTCTTCGAAATTTCGATTTCCCTGGTTGGTGCTGGATATCATGACTGTATTGGCTCAAGTATTAGGACGCGCGGATCAGCCGCTTGTTAAGTTTGTCGACCGACGATGATCCTGGGTGAGTGTGCCGCGCAATCTAACAGATGGCTGAGTGATCTGTGTAGATCACGACAGGCGACCTCGAGTTCGGCCGGCTAGTAATTTCTCTCGGCTATGGACAATAGGCGACTGAGAAACAATATCGGTCTTACCGCCGTTCGCAGCGGCGGGACTGTAGGCGTCCACCTGTTGGCCTGATTCAAATGGTATACTACCACCGCAAAGCCATCCAGCGATGCATCTAGGTCGTAGTACTATCGAAGCCGATATGTCATCATCTCGTTCAGTACCTATATGTTACCACCACATTAGCATTTGATAGTAGGCTTCGGGCGGTTAATCCGAACCTTTGGAATCTCGACGGCGTCTAACGTGGGCCCCCGCGGGCTGACCGTGCTAGAGGACATCGAATATTGCCTTCGAGTAGCTCTGACAGACTTTGTAACCTAGACCGAGTCTATGACAGTGGGCTCGTGGCTGCCAAAAACGATTGTGTGCGTGGTCACATTGAATCACTGACGAGGAATTTGAATACGAATCACCGCATCGATGGTAAGATATAACAATCTCAACTTTTCTCGCTTCCCATCTCAAATCTGATTGTCAGAATCTCTAGGCGTGCTTCCTTCTCAAATGGCTTCGTGAAACCATCTGCAACGTTGCTTTGGAACATTCTCCAACAATGACGCGCAGCTGGGACGGGACAAGGGGTCTACTCAAGTTAGTCTCAACGCTGTATCGTAGGATCTTTAGATGGGAATTTGGGCAAGCCATTCTTGATAAGTATCTGGTCTTGGCCACATATAGGGAATAAAACCCATAAGCTTACCTGCTCAGATAGCAAGCCCCCTTTTCTTACCAAATATTACGGCACTTCCCACAAGGTGGATAAGGTCATTGCACTAGCTTGCTGCCATAGCAGCAAGCAAGACAACGAAAGCAAATGTCCGAGTAAAGATTGTGAAACATGGTGAAAGGTGATATCATATAAGTGTAAGATGGAAAGAAGGAAAAACAACAAAGAGAAATTTATCCAAGGACGGATCTGGGGTCGGAGTGCGTGCACTGGTGTTATGACCCCAGTTCTAATCGCGGCTACACCTGCGATGGTGTCCCGATATGCCCTTTTACAATCTCTTCTTGCTTAAGAGATTGTCTACTGACATATCTGATGTAATGTAGGATGCCAGTCCACGTTGGGATTACTCTTTTGTGACATTGATGAGATAAAGTGAGAGGTGATAAGCAAGAAAGCCATGAGAAAGAAATGGGGGAGAAGCGAGAACAGCTAATGGAGTAGTGAAGTGAGAGACAAGTGTGGAATTGAATAACAATATTGAAGTCTTAGGAACAGATGCTCCATATATAACTCATCCTTCACCATCTCGCGAGATCTATACATAAGCCATTGTAGTTTTCTTCGAGGTTGATGTTGACCAGAGAAATGATATTGCAGTGCGAGGAAACGTTGACAGAATATTAATTTTGAATTCAGATGTGGAAGGTACAGTTTATATTTCAGAATAAGAACATTTGCCTCAAACTGAAGCTTAACGTCATTCTTTAACTTCTGTAGGGACAGTGAGATGGTGGGTCTGGAGAAGACAATAAGAAATATATTTCCATTCATGTATAAATACATAGGCCCAGAAAGATGGCTGAAGTCATCTATATACTCAGAACAGGCCTTAGACGTCTGGAAATAATAAACTAAAAGTACTCACCATATTAGCGCGTCGCTCGATAAAACTAAATGAAGCATAACTCACCCACGCTTAGTATTTAGTGAGACCATTATAATACTATCGTGTTCGGCGTACTTGGATGGTGATGTTTGTTGTTGATCCACAAAGTACAATGAAGAGAAATAAACAAGACAGTCTGCATTCTGGAAAGAGCAAACCCTGAAGTTCAGGCCGCAGGTCCGCGATAGTTCACTTCGTATGTTTTGAAAGGAGAACCAAAGAAAAAGGGCGCTTTTTCTCCAGGTCGACGTCTTAATTCTTCTTCCCGTTGTCGAACCCGTCGCCGATGTTCTTTAGCCCGGCGCTTCTTTGCCTTCTGCTGCTTTCTCTTTTCCGACGTCGTTGAAAGTTTCTGAAACATGTGACTTAGCCAGCCCATGACTGCCCAATTTATGTTCTCTTTGGGCACTCTGGGATATTTTCGGATTGCTGATTGTCAGCCGAGTGATGAACAAGTTCTATTCATCAAGGGGGGTGATGACAATGATATATTGAAATATATGCAGATAGTGAAAAAGGAAGAATTCACTAAGGGATCCAGGCTACACGCCGATATCCTGATATATGGTGATGTGAGACTGGAAATCGGGTGGAAATTCGCGGGTCATCTCTGGACTCGAGCTAACCGGTTCGGGTAACCCGTGACCCCGTATAGCCTTGCCCTAAGCAGAGACATACTATATAACCACCCTCTTTTAAAGATATGTCTTTCTTCTTCCATCTTTGTGTATAGAAGTCTAACATATTCTTTAACGATTTAGAGTCATTGCGTACATAGGGCTGGAACCACTGATTCTCAAGTACTATGTAGATCAATGCATTTTACAATACTCTTACGGCCCCCAACCCACAGCTATTATAGCCCCCAACGATCGTCAAGAGAAAAAGCTCTACGTAATTAGTTTCTCGAGTCTGTAAATACTGACAACTTATTCGTACATATAAACACCTACGCCTTTGTGTCTGAGTATTTTAGCCGTGGATGTTGCGCATGGCATCAGTCATAGGGAGTCAAAGCTACTATGTACACATATGTAGTCTCACTACATTGTATACTGACGCCAATGCAAATCCTAACATAGAGCGACCCACAAGCCCAACATATGTATCAAACTACTCCATTATTATTTCTTAGTGATCGTCAATGTCTTAGCAATTGTGTAATTCTCTGATCATTACAGTAAACAACTCGGTTGCCGTTGATTTATATCCCCTAGCTTTCCAAGATATCATTCTCCCCTTCCTTGTTACTCTTCTCGTGACGCAGAGCAAAAGTCATTGCCATTCAAACCACCGAAGAGCAAAGGACAAGAAAATCAGGTATAGGTGAGTTTTGAATCCGAAAGTCCATAAATTTTGAATCGGCGGGGGTTAACGAACCACGTCTAGCAACTGGTCAAGCCCGACTTTTGTACCACGCAAGATGGAGCCTACTCAGCAAGAGACCAACGCACATACACCTCGTTCGGACGGCGTCGATTATGATGTTGAGAAATTGCCGGAGCAGCGCCAAAAGCGGAAGCTCAAAACCAACCAAGACTACAGGGATGAGTGGAGATATGGATCGAAGGCACGTGTGGTGAAGTATTATGCCATGCATTTTTGTATAGGTATAGTGGTTGGCACTATCATTGGATTGATTATCGGTCTATGTGTTCGGTATGTAGCCAAGGCCTAAGTATAAGGATAGGGATGCATTTTATATCCGTTTGAGTACTCCGGTATCATGGAAGATATAGATATAGTCCATGGCTCATTGAATCTAACAATATACTGCTATGTATGTAACAGTAGGAAATGCAGATGCAGCATTCGAATTCATAACTCCGACCATCGTATTCATCGTAATCATGCAACAGACGCAAAGGGGGGAAAAGCAAAACGGGTATACGATGCATGTCATGCGTATCATAGGTGCGTGTGATCATAAAAAGCAAAATCTGCGGGTCGTCTTTATCTAAGGACCTCCCGGACGAATTGAACATGCGAACCAGGGAACAGTCCCGTCCGACCAGCATAGCATCCCCAGAACCAGTCATCGTTGATATTCTCTGCCTCGGTAATATGTGCACCGCGCGGGAAGACAAGCTCGTCTGAAACTTCTTCTTCTGGGTACCAGGACCACAGAGCGTGGACAATGAGACCGACACCACCGTCAGGCGGGAACCGGCGGAAGGGCGGAATACCCTGAATGGGAGTTGCGGTGGAACTGGAAAGGGGTGGGCTTGAGGGATCAGAAGCAGAGACAGTACTTCTGCTGGTATCGTTCGTGGCAGCAGGCCCGGCACGCAGACGGGATGCTTTCTTACGGCGCTCGGGGCCATCCTTCCAGGTCCAGTCACCGGTTCCTAGCTCCGGGGATGCGACTGGGCCACCTGTTCCTGGGGAGGAAGTTTGTGATTGTGCTACGTGTTCGTCTTTCAGGGCGCGGCCACCCACAAGGTCGCGGACAACGACGCGACGCTGGCCTTCTTCGTGGTCTTCGAATCCGACTACTATCATACGGTGGCCGGCGAGACAGCGGCGCCATCCGTTGTGTCCGTTCTCTTTGTTGATTTTGCCCGTTGCCACGAGTTTGAGGTAGCAGTTTGTACAGACATCGTAATCACCACCATTGCATTCCAGACAATGATAGCGGGTATTTGAGGCTGGGATCGGGTAGGTGCAGATGTCGCAGTTTGTTGAGAATGAGAGAATTTTGAAGCTCTCCATCTCGGATGTGGGAAGAGTATTTGATTCGGCTGGTGGCGGCGTAGTAGATGGTGCTGACGGAGGTGGGCTACGGGTAATGCGCCGGATGGGCAACAGGGCGTGCGTGCAGCATCGTCCTTGGTTAACGCAGGAGTTGCAGAAACCCCAGTCTCCCTCGTTGCACTGGTTGCATTTCCAAAAACAGTCGTTCGTCGACGATTGACACGCATCACAAAAGAGACCGCTTTGTAGCCGGCGTACTGGATTGTCGCTGGTCATTTGTCTTTCTCCGCTCATCATTCGATGGGCAGTCTCGGAGGGCCGCTGATATTTGAACCACATTAAGATATGGCCTGGGTCATTAATATGTATAGGGCGTCGAGTAGACGACGATATGATTCTTTGAAAGGTGGTATGTGCGGATGCCCTAAATCCGCTCCATTGAAGACAGCCACGACCCAAACGGTAACATCGTAGACACAGGTGGAAGTTTCCTTCCTTGCAACTTGTGCATCTCTTGTATAGATCATATTGGATGTTGTCCTTCTCGCAACGGTCACAGGAGATAGACGGCTCCGGGAATTGTACAGTGGGAGATGCAGGAACATTGGAGCGGGACGAAGATGGTCTTGTTCGTCTGTCTGATCGGCCTGGAACAAGGGGCGAGGACAACGACGAAAGGGCGTGATCCGCGTGGGCCGTATGGCGGGACGCATTTGAAGGTGCAGCGCTAGAAGTGGGAGAGTTCGTGGCTGATTGACTCCTAGTCTGCCTAGAAGAGCTTCGTTCTCGTCCTCCGACGGATAATGTGCTAGAGAGATTCTGTTCAGACTCCGTGGCACGTCGCGTCCTGGCCGATGATGACTCTGATCGTACGCGCCCAGCCTGAGAAACAGGGCGATCCGCAGTAATATCACTCGAAGATCGGGCAGCAGGCCTTATAGCATCATCTGACGCAGACGCCTGATTTGCTCGGACGGGCGAGGTCCTTCGGCGCCCACCCACTTGTTCTGAATTGCGTCTTTGATGGCCTATAATCGGCCGCGCGGGAGCTGGACCGAACAGATGAGGTCTGGAAACTGGCGGTCGTCTAACATGATGTTCTCGGGTAGCCGCCGTTGGTTCCGCAGTCCTATGGGCGGACTCGGACCTTGCATGCGTCCGCGTAGGTCCGTCAGGCTCATGTCGCCGACGAGACTGCGATCTTTGCATATGCCTCCGACGGTAAGCGTCCGCGATACGTTCACTGAGTTCCTCTTCTTGCCTTGGCCCAAGGTTATCAAGGTTGATGTTGTCCAGTAATCCATCCTCGAGAATTTGCCGCAAGATCTCTGCCTCCATAGTCTCCGCATCAGAAGACAAACTCAGCAATGACCGTAGACTGGATTGGTGCTCGACCCGTCGCGTACGCTCCGAATCATCGGGTCGTAATGTGCGATGCTGCCGCGTCGTATCATCATCTCTCCGACGCCTTGAGCGGCCGTCCTCTGCAGGCCTCTCCGTATGGCTACTCCGCTCACGCGTCCGTGAAGATTGACCCGTCCTACGGGCCTCCCGCCTAGCTTGTGACCGGCTTTCGCGTAGACTCAGCTCGCGTACCTCGTCCAGAAGTCGTCTATCGTCCTCGCCATCCTCCTCCCCACTCTCCCCGCCCGAAGGAAGTGCTGGGAAAACCGACTCGCCGTGTGTGTACCGAGTGGCAATTTCTGCCTTTTCATCTGCCGCTCTGGCTCGATCTGGTTGTGCGGTCAAGACCATGTCCAGCAGGGTCGTCACGGTGGCATTTGGGCGGGTGTCGCGCACTTCAGCACGACAGGACGGGCAGGTGAAACGAGATGAGGCGCGGGGGCGACGCGACCCTTGCGCAGTGAACCATTCTTTCACACATGAGCCGCAGAAAGTGTGGAGGCAGTCGAGGAGAGTGAGGGGTTGGTAAAGGAGCTCGGTACAAATCTGGGGCAAAGAGCGGTGTTAGAAACAAAAAGGTAAGGGGGTGGAATGGGAGTACATACTGAGCATACCAGCTCTTTTTCAAGGTCGGCCAATCCGGAACTTTGAACTTGAGACATCAGCAAGTTTTGGAGTTCCGGAAGTAAACAAGAGGTGAAGACCGAGGGTCGTAAATGTGGGAGGTTGGCTCCACCAATGGACCGGTGATCTCCCGCTTTCACCTTCACCTTCACTTCTCACACTTTAATACTTCAACTTCGTATCTTCCCTTTGGATATGGACTGTGGGAGGATTTTGCCTACCACTATTACAAAGCGGTTGAGTTAGTTTCTGCCCGATGAAACTTGAAAATGGTTGAACATAGTAATGGGTGGAAGATGGAAGATAGTAGTCTTCCATTGTCTAGGAAGATTATAGGCCTTAGGCGGAAAAAGGGCTCAGAGATTTCAAAATATTATCTTAACATGCAATTTGTTGTGAGATTCCCTATGTCATAGCTTAGATAGAAGCTCTAGACAGCAAAGAATATCAGTACATCTTGCTGCAATAACAAAGGAACGAATTGACCGAGATCCCTGTCTTGAACATCAAGTTCCAAATGGTCACTGGACTGCGATATCCTCATCAAAGGTCGTACCGCGGGGTATATGCTACACAAAGACCTTGTCAAAGAAACCCTGCGAAAATAAATGTATATGCCTTTCCTCCATAGAACAAACCAAGCGGTCAACGGACTCAAATTCAAACCCGATACCGGTACACCAGGTCCGCATAGCGTGTTCAAAACCAGACTATATGGATCTGTCCTATTCTTCGCCATCTCCCCGACAAAACCACCTATTCGCCAACGCAATGGCGGCAAAGATGCAGGACACGTCCCTCAACGCCATCGAAGCACAAAACGCACGGTCCATTCGCAAAGACAGAGGTACCTCCTAGTGACAACGCAATACAAGTCCGAGCACTGGTCCCTGAGCAGGACCAGGCCGGCCGAGAAGAAAAAGTTTCAGTCAAGTTTTAGTATAGTCCTACCGCCACAGCGGGCGGGACGGAGGGATGATGACCCCCAGCGAAAGAAAAAAGCGGATAAAGAGAAGTCTTTTTAGACCTCGCCTCTCTTGTGGCAAACACAGCAGTTTCCCATCCCTACGGTTGGACCTAGTTATCATTGGTAGCGGTGAAGGGTTGCCTGCTAGAAAGCGAAGAATTGACTTTGGAAAACCCATTTCCTCGGAGTCTGAGCACATTGTGAGCCCGGAACGTCGGAACTAGACCTGTTATGGGTGTCATGTGAGGGAAGGTGAACTTTATGTGTTTCTATGTTTCGTGCATACCTCGCGTGGGAGTTAGACGCTGTCTTTCCTCACGGATCATCCGGCGCAAGATGCATGTTGTGATCAGATGCGTGCGATGACTGTCAATTTGCGGGGAAGGTCTGTGTCGAGCTCGGCTTCTAGGGCCCGGTCACTGGCTCCCGCTGTGGCTTGATAATAGGGAGGAGAATATAGCTCTAGAGGTCTTGGACGGCAGGAACATCAGATCTATTCGTCAGCTCGTGCGTTATCAATTCGCTGGGATTTGTTTGCTTTGTCTCGTGATACTACCTTGTCAGCTGTTTACTGGGGCATGAAACACCTCGGAAGACTATTAGATAGTAAGGTGATGCTCTCGCTCGGACAGTATGAGGTGGCAGATGCACCCCGCAATTGAGAGGCGCAGGGCTACAGGCCATACTCACCTCGGCTTATAGCAATGTCCGTGGAATCCGAGAACATTACTCTGTGTTCAGGATATTGCCTTTTTGGTTTAGCCATAAGATTAGTCTGCTTATGCGGACTATAGCCTACAGTATATATGAGATATTAATAAGTTAAACTAGTTACCTACTATGCACCTACATATCTTGATAAAGAGGTTGCTAGGATGGTTCCTTTGAGCTCTTAAATATCCAGTAATTGGCTGACAAAACAACTTTGATAGCAAGAAAGGGTAAACGATCACCCTACTAGCGATTATAATTACTCAGATACTCCTAGACCTGAGGCTATAGATGAGCGACTTGATCATCGTCCATTCCAGGCCCTAAAGATTCTACCCCGCGTACTTATCTTTGAATTCAAACGTTAAAGTGTATTCAAAGAGACTGGCAAGGAGGGCCGGATTTCCGATCTCGAAGGTTTAACAGGCGTTAATTCTCGTATCAGAAATGAGTCTATAGCGCTGGCGGGATAACGCCTCTCCCGCTGGTGGAATGATAACAGACCCAAATCAGCCAATCCTCTAGCTTCGGGGTATTGTAACCGAGTGCTGTTTGATTTCTATTTATGGCTTGATCTTTAGGTAATCGTTCTAGTGAAGTAGTGACTCACTATAATTTATAACCTTGTAATTAACCGAGATACGGGAGATACCTATATCAATTGAGGTCTTTATTAATCTATCAAATCCAACTTACAATTAAATCAACCTGCAAAGCAATTGCGGAGATATAACCCTGCAACTTCGGGGTACACCTGCAAGTTGCAAATCATTTTCCCCATACCTATAAGACAAAATTCATACCAAGCGCAAAGTATAAAAATGCCATGTCAACATGAAACCCCTGAGATAAAACCCACATCCAACAGCCCAGAACGACCAATGCACTGACCCCGTCATGCATAGCAATTGTCAGTTCGCCGCACTAATGCAAAGCCTTATGCACGGCCGCGCAGACGAATCAAGCTATCCACGCCCCACTATCACCGCACTGTCGAGTAGTAGCTCCGGGATCGCGCGCACTGACTACCGCGCCTCCGTTCTGGCCGGTGTTGGAACTTGGTGGGGGTTGCTTTGGGGCCCTTTCTCGCATGCTATGCATAAGCGTGGGGCGGGGCTGTTCCAATATACTTACTTCGAGGCTAGCGACTAGTTATCTGTGGTATAGGTGGCTTCCTGAAGTATATGTTCAATATATTTTGATATCAATGTTACTATGATATGCACTAACATGAAAAAGGTCCGTGCTTTTTCTATAGTACACATCATGTATACCACCTAGATGTATACGGAATCGACCAAAGCGGCTGTCCCTGATCGTCTATCCATCTTGCCAGTGGTTGATTGCCAAGATGTGTAAGGTGGTGCCACTTGCTCAACAATTTTTTTTTCCCTTGGGAGATACAACGTCCGGGATACAGATTCCCCTTGGGAACGTGTATGGCCCGCAGGGATGTTGGAAGGTCAGGTGGTGCTCGGTGCAGTGCATTGCAGAAGAGGCGCGTCTAGGATTTGCGTGACGTGCGACATTGCATAGTCAGCTAATATGCACTGCTTGCGTGCGATTTTCTTATTCTTGAGCTATCAGTAAGCTGGCGGGCCAATCATGGTCCGATTCTCTATCATGCATCATAAATTTGAAATGCCCAGAGTCGAAACGGTTGAAACGTCTATTCTGTGCTACACATAATTAATTGGGAGGGTTGGCATATCACAACATACAATTGTATGGAGGTCTAATCGGAATGGTGCATCCACATCGCCGACGGGTGTGCCCATTCGAGTGTGTTTCGATTACGATATCTGGGCAAGATTGTATTCCTACAGCCATAGTGCAGCGAACCACCTCCCATTCGCAGATTCTCCAGACCTAGTCACTGACAACCAGATGCAAATCCCGGGGTATAACTCTATCACTCGCGGGGTAAGAAAAAGGGATCAGAACGCATGTCAGCGTCGCTCCGATACCCGGGCTCCGCATCAACTCCGAGTTCGCAATATATGCATCACGAATGCAAGAGCTGACGCCAGCCGTATCCACGCGGGGCAGTTGGATCTCTCTAGCACAAGCGCTGCCCCTCTCTCATTTCACAGCCCTGGTCTCATTAATGCATACTATGAACACTCCATTTCCTTTTGTTCTTGGCAAGCAGTGACCGCAGTCTGGACAGGCCCGCTGCCCAAAGCGGGTGCGTGTTTTACCACCAAGCTGAACCAGGATGCTTAGCAGTATTGGGTTGAATTGCGCGAGACGATCCTCGGGAAACTAGGCTGGCGATGAGGGTCTGAGTTCAGCCACCAGTAACGCCCTCGGGGTGAGTTGCAGTTTAGAATTGCTGCCTGCGAGATAGGGCAAATTCCAAGGAGCACACCACTCCGTTGGGAAATGTGTCAATTTGTACAGGCTCAGGTTGTAAATTGCAAACTGCAGTGTGAGATCGCATCTGGGCGATCATTTCAAGAGTAGGTTAGCAAAGACTCCCATTTCGCCATAAAGTAAGATCCTAAGGCTGAACTCTGTGATCTCAAGGTTCAAACATGAACACAGTATATTTCTGATAGGTGCTAGTCTGACCGCTTCGGCGCTTCGACCCCATAACACGTTCTAATATGTATTCAAGGGGTTGCGGGCCATGACCGGATTCGGGTTTCCCGTGGACCGGACAACCGATGGAGGGGTAGATTTCGGGATTGAATTAGAAAAAGAAAAGAAAAGAAAAAGCAAATAAAAAGACCAATAAAAAAAGTGCACGGAAGTTTCCAGGGTCTCGGCAAGAAGGGGCTAAACGGACGTTATCGCCCTGCAGTTCGGAATGTTGCGACCTTGCCGCTTCACCGAGAAGTTCATATTGGCAATGAGGATCCAGAGAATGAGATGTATCGGGTACGCCCGTAGGCTCGAGTATCCATATTCAGTCAGTGGATACCTGGTACGGAGTAGGGTCTTGCGGGAAAACTCCATCAAAAGCAGTGGGGGGAAACCTGGAGATCAACACCATACGCCTTGTGCAGATCAGAAGCGTTCGAGACTGTCAGACGAAGGTCGAGATGGGTACCCACCATGAGCCAGGGGTTCAGGGTTTCGCCAATCTCGTGGGATGTCCGAGGAGATCACTGAGAAATAGAAATAAATCGCCATAACGCCATATGAAAGCCACTTGCAGCCACTGTATTTTGTTGGGATAGTTCAATGGATACAATATAGAGTGGCGAAAAGAGAAAACTCTGCGACGCTAAGACAGAACAAAGGGGTTGGTGGTCCGGGCGTAGGCGTTTAACGAGAATAGTATCATTGGGGTCTAGAGCTCTACTTGCACTTTGTAAATATTTTATAATAATTGCCATTTGCCTAGTATGACAC